TGACGTAAGCTTTAGACAGCTGCAATATGATTGTATATATGCAGCTATAGGCGATCGCGTAAGGGTCTACCCTATTTATTTTGTCTGTCAGTGTATAATAATATATACGTATATTATACGTGTGTACTGTGTAAAATGTACATATATACACACACACACTCACACTATTCCTTACTACGGTGTTCCCCTTTTTGCGGCATGGGACAATGCATTGTATATAATGCGACCTCAATTTGAACTTAATGTACAATGTATACACCAATTGACCCTTTTTATAATAGCGTGTTGGGGTGAGTTTGGGGGAGTCGCGTAGAGCACCGTTTGATATAGTTGCCAATGTTTCAATAATTATCGAGTAGTGTTTTTTTTTCCATAGACTAATTTTATTGAAACTGCAAGGTGTTTGCGGCACCCTATATCGATATAATGATAACACGCAACCTATATTGTCGTAATAGAGCACCCCTTCACGCTTCGCATTAATACTATAAAATATGCGCCACAACATCCATCGATATATCTATAACACAATATCCGATCATGAATCATGATCCATATAATATTATTGTGTCTATGGTTATGGTTCGTACTTTCATAGGCAACTATATATATAGTTCATGATACTTAAATTTAAGTATAAATATACGAGACAGTTCGTACCTCTGCCGTGGTTAAAACAAAATAGGTATAGGCAATTATTTATTACTATAGTTAACGAATTACGGTTTACCTAAATACTACCTATAGAAAACGAATAAAAATAAATGTTTTCATTATTTATATTATAAACGTATAACATAATTAAATATTAGATTCTTGTAGGCGTGAGCCATAGACTGGGATGATATTTTGATAGAGAGTTTTCTAGAGTTTATTCAAGTCCTTTTAAAAATATAAATTGTATTGTTTTTATTAGTATTGCAATTTACAAGTACGATATATAATTATATATATTAGATAATATATATGTATATTATCTTTCGATATAAATTTTAAAATCTATGATAGGTATTTTCCGTTGTAAATCTGTCAACACATTTAAAGATTCAGGACTGGATTAACGTATATGTGCAGGGTAAGCCATGCCTGCAGGGACTATGTTTTTAGTCCTGCTCTCCTGGAATGCAAATTCGTTGATGGCGAAAAAAATAAGGAAAACATTTATCTTGTCTACTGAAACTGTATCACATAATAAGTTATAACACGTCGTTTTTTACAAGAGTATCCTTCATGGTCACAATATAATTAAAATGAAGCATAAACATTTATGGGTATACAATATGTCTATATACATGTAATATGTATAGTATAGCCATTATAGACTACCTAAGTATAAATTAATACGACTAGGATTATCATCAGCTTAATCCAGCACTGTTAAAATTACATTTTATAGGAAATGTTTCAATGATGTGAAGAAGTGGGGCGTAAGGAAGGCTGTGTAATAAAATAATTTGGCTAGAGATGATAAGTTGTGTCCGTGTACTATGTGGACACCCGCAATAGATATACTCATCTATTTATAATAGATACCTACCACTGCATGTAATATAAGTTATAACCATATATATACATTAAACATATTACCACACACATGCTGTACACGCTATTGTACCAAATCAATAAACAATTGAGTCAAAAATGTAATATTTGGTTTATATAATATACAAGGCAAACATTTTAATGTTTAACTGGCTGTTAATTGTACTCAAAATATCATAATCAGCGGCAGTCTACTCGTATGTATATAGGGGCGTCATTCGGTGATTTGGAGTAAAACCACGGGGTAGCAAGCATCTTGGATAATATTTGAAATTAAATTGTATGTGGTCTAATGCAGCGTTTCCCAAAGTGTGTTCTGCGGAACCTTAGGGTTCCGTGGGACAATGTCAAGGGTTCCGTTAGATGTATGAGATTATTGAGAAAATGTTTGATTGAAAATTTTTTTTTAAACTAAGTTTAATAATGAAAAGTCATTAACAGTATCATTAAAATATTATTTGGACTTGAGAGTTTAAGGAATTGATTTTCCTTTTTTAATTTACAAAAATTGTAGTTGAGTTGGATTAGACATTAGGGTTCCGCGAAACACAAACAATTTTTTAAGGGTGCCGTGGTCGTAAAAGTTTGGGAACCGCTGGTCTAATGAATCCTAGGAGCAGTCAGTAGATAAAATAATAAAATTGGTGAGGGTAGCAATTGCTACCCCCTCACTACCGCATAATGACGACCATAGGTCTATACCACTGTAAAACACGATTGATAATAATATAGTCTATTGGTCTTCATCAACATATACGCATATGATTTTGACCTGCAACTTTGAAGAACTGTTGCCATTTAACTTGAACTAAAATAAAAAAAAAATGAATAAAGAACCTTGTACAATAGGCACAATCCAAAATTAATTGAGAGAATTTGACAGGTAATAATGAAATCGGATATTTTTTCTTGAGAGAATGTCAGCGCACTGTTTTTTTCTCTGGCCCACGCGCAACATGAACAAAGCGAATTTATGCAGAATCTTTTTTTTTTAATGTTTTTGAGAAAACTTGGAGAAAAACTTAAGCTGCCTATTACAAAAACGATAGAGAATAATCTTTTTGATGGTAGGACGATCGATTTGTCAAAATATTGTTTCAAAACAATTTTTAATTATTAAAATGTATAGTCAAATAATAATAAAATATAAAACCGATGTATCATCCTCAAAAATACTATATCCTCTATATTTTTTCATCATAGGTGATTACTGATTTTACTTTAAGGTTACTCAAAAACCATATAAAAAAATGATATTAAATGAAATCGTTTCATCTATATCTAATTGTCTGAGAGAGAAAACAAATATATTGCACTGACATCTTCTTAATTAAGTACTTGATTTATAAGATCATGACGAAAAGCTCACTCTCAATAAATGTGTAAACCGTACTTTAATAATTGATTGGTGTAGCCGTGTAGGAACAAGTGTCATTTGATTATAGACGATATGTGTTTGTGTTAGGTAGGTATTTAGTGTTTTTTCAAGTGAAATATGTTGATAATAAAGATGTGTTTATAACTTCTGAAAAAGTTAAACCCCTAGTTTTACAAAATCTTCATAAATTTCCGTATTTTAATAAAAAGACGGATTTCAAAATGGCTGTGTTACCATTTCGAAAAAAGGATTGTGTGTCCACGAAACAATTAATGAACACAGTCCTGAAATTCTGATTGTCCGTTCTCGTGGAATGATAACGAAAAAATATACCTGTAAGTAGGTACTACGTACTTGGCAGTAAGTAACTAGTAATTATTATGCAAGGAATACCTAGCATGAACTACCTAAAGGTAATGAACAAGGATCAAGGACTAACCGGGTCAGTTAGTTCCTGAACATTTCACCCAAAATCATCTTCATTCTTCATTTGATATATAATTAGTGGTTATCAAGCGGTTTTCAGTTTTAGACGAAACATAATATTTTTAAACTGAATCAGCTCCGGAATTCATTTCTCTCTAATTTACCTTACATTTTTGCCTGCAATTTCATTTCACTAAATTACATGAATTTTAATTTTTAAAACAGATTTCAATTTCTACATAGGAATATTATAGCTATTTTGCCTATGTTTTCATAATCAAGACTATAAGTTTTATAAAGCCCTTTTTACAAATTTAGCATTGTCCAGAGATTACCACAATAAGGTTTTTTAATTTTATCCAAAAACATTTTGTATCTGTGTTTATGTTATAAATTGTCAAATTATTATTAGTTGGTTTAAGTTATATTGTAGTATTAAATAAAACATTTAAAGGCCATTGATTTGATACAATCACACCAATCAATTTCTCCTGTGTTATATTGTTGGATTTCTTGCTTATTTCTTCATTCTCAGACCTGTCATTAAATTTTATTTTTGAGAGACTGTAGCAAATAAACACTATTCGATTTAATATAAGTAAACTATGGTTTAAATTTATAACACTCATCCAGGCTTATTGGTGGAGAATTATAATCAAGACTTGCATTAAAGAAAGAATGAAGACTCACACACATTGGTTGTACACTATTTATATTGTACATACAACCGTTGATACTTTGATAGTATTTATGCTACAACTGTTTCCGACACACTATCAACTAGGTACCTACTCGGGGGGAGATATCAGATAAACAATCTTCTGAGATAGCTGCAAGTAGGTATGGGGTGAGAATGGTGAAATGGTATTTTAAGAAAATTTTAGTACTTGTTATTTTCCCCACCAAATTAAAAGATAAATATAATTTGCTCCTAAATATAAATTTTGATAATCTGCATTTTGTGCCACGACAGAAAACGAAATATGGTATATGTAAAGAAAGATACCTTAAGTATCTTTAAGACCCTTCCTCAAGAGTTGAGGACTTAGATAATGAGTATTATATATTTATATATACATATACTTATTTATTATAACTTATATAGTTATATACTTTACACCATAATACAACTTAACTTTTCTGATCTATAACACCATTAACATTTATTACTAATTTTCTTTATTTTATTTATAAAACTTTTAAACCAGCAAAATTTCACTTATACTGTAACAGCTGAGTACTCAGTGGCGCCGAACACATATGACAAGTGTGGTAAATACCCCAGAACATTTGAAAAGAGGTTGGCATCCCCTTAATTTGGCCTGGGTGGGTAGGTAGGTGGTACCCCCAAACAGAGTCTACCCCAGTGGTTTATTAAAGGTTCAGTGCCACTGTGAGTACTGTAAATAGTCTACCGTATTGCAATTTGAAAGCTTTTGTCAAATCTAAAAATTTGGCTAATAAATAATGTTAACAGTATAAATTATGAAAGTAAAAATAAATCATGTACCTAGTACTAATTTCCAAGTTTTTAGATTGAAAATTATCAGTAAAATTCATCAAATTTCACAACATAAAAAATATAAGAAATTCACTAATAAATTAAATTATCCAGAAGTTCAATCGGTTAAATAAATAAAATATGATTTTAACATAATTGTCTACATAATATTTTATTTATTTTATACAATTTAAAATGATTTTTACAGTAGATGTTTAAATATGTATCTTGGTGTATTTATAGTTTTTACACAATACTAACAATGTATTCTACAAACTATACATGCCACATAAAAATCAATTATCATCACTGTAATATTCACGTTCATCTGAATCATCATCATTCTCATCATCTATTTGTTTTTTATATATTTTTTTAAACACAAAGAATTCTTCAGCTGTAACTCCAGCAATTTTAACAGCAAACTGTTTATCACTTGTTTCAATGATTTTTTTCAATGAAGGATTGCCAGTTATAAAATTTGGACTAGCTTTTGGATCTCGAGGTTTGTACATACCTAGTTTAATCAAAAAATTATGTCTACACTTTAAATCAAAAAGTGTTGATGACATAACACTTGTCGTTACAAATTGAGTAGGACCAAGTTCCATGTCCAACAGTATATAGTCTAATTTAGACTCTATATGTTTCCAGTTGTCAAACAAAATATTTGGCGAATATGATATCAATTCTAATAACCTATTTTGTTTATTACCAACATATGATAAAAGTTTGGGGATTCTGGATAAAATTTGCTTATCGTCCAGCAACAAGCAAGAAGGTTGTGAAATTATTAGCTGTCTTAATTTTTTGTCATCGAAGCGAAAGTTCGTCCATGCAATCATGCATTTTTCTAAGTTTTGTCTATTTATACTTAATATATCTGGGTTTGAATCTATCATTTCTAGAAGCTCAGATGTTTTAAAATCATACTGAGTTAAATATTCAAATAGTACTAGCCACCTTGATTCAGTGTAAAATTTTAATTTCTCTTGATGGTTATTTATAACGTTGGATAATATTGAACTTTTTACATTTAACTGCTTAGCCAAATTACATAAATGTTCTGGTACGACATTCGGTTCATTTACTGCAACAGACATATTTTTAGATGTGATCATTTTTAAACAATGACACAAATAACATGTTCGAAAAGTTTTCATTGACAGCATTGTAACTGAAAAAAAAAACATACATTTGTACATATTCAATACTTAGTATAAATTACTTCATATTCAATTAAATTACACACATATTAAGCAATTTTAACATCACATTCTTAGTTCTTACAATAGGTATACTTATTCTCTTTAATCAATGATTTTCATATTTTTAGTCAATACAGTATATCCCTAAACTCTCGTATCACAGTTGTGTCTCAGTGGAAATTAAATGTATTAAAATGTTGTTTTTTACAGTAAAAGTAAGGAAATTCTAATTGAATGGCATTCATTTTTTTTTTGCATTTAAGTTTGGTAAATTTTGATGTTAGCTATCTGTTATCATAAAACAGTTTTTGAAAATCCACCAAGTTAAAGTAAATTAACCTACTGACTTAATTATAATAGTAGATATAATTATATAAGGAAAACAAAAATCTTATATTTTAATCAACCTCGATTTGAACTCGGATTTTTTATAACAATCTGTAAAATATTCTATTATTAGTGGAGTTTTAAAACAAAATGGGTACAGAGAAGATTGTCGTATAAAAAATCATGTAATTTGTGTTTTGCTAATATAAAATCTCACTATTCTAATGAAGGCAACAATTTAATTTGCTTTAGCTTTGTCGATTTTCACTCAATTTTATACAATTTTTTTTTAAACTGTTTTTAATCATGAAAATGGCTATCTTGAAAGATAAAAAAATTATTTGCATGCAAAAAATCAAATTTTATGCTATTCAATTAGAATTTCCACACTTATAATTTTTTCTTGTAAAAAAACCACATTTAAGTATATTGATTTACCATGAATTTTTGGACATATTGTATAGCATAAGAGGACACTAAGCCAGCATTTGTTGTATCTGTCTTACAAATGCATTGCATTGCAAATTTAACTTTCTAAATAATCTATTAAACTCGGTTATGTTTAATATTGAAACAAATTTATCTATTACCAAATTTAGGAGTAAGAATGTTATCTAGAGAATCTCATAGGTTTTTTTGTATATTTTTATTTTAAGCTGTACAACTAATAAGCAATTGTAAAATACTCATAACCTGCTTTAAAATTAAAATACATATTAATACAAAAATGAGATTCACTAGATAATATAAGTAATTTTTGCTTTTAAATTTGAAAATAGGTTAACACTCTCCTACATTAAGCATAACAGAGTTAAATAGATTATTCGAAACATACAATTTGCTATGTTATGCATTTGTAGACAAAGGGAAGGCATGCGGGTGTAGCATCCTCTTAATCAAAAAGTATTTTGTTAATAAATGATAGATTTATATTAATAGGCTAATTACAATTAATTTACATTATCATGTTAACATGTTCTTAGTCCTCTTTCTTAAAGTAGTATACACAGGTTCTGCACACTTTTTCCTCCTTTCCACCCATAGGCCGTTATGTGGGAGATGCACACCACCGATGTATTTTACTTTGAGACAAAGGAAGCCATGAAAATTCGCCAACTATGCTCACCCCTATTTTTCTAAACCTATTATCATGGAACTAATACCCTACCACCTCAGTACACTAAGTTAAATTACTCAAAAACTTCTTGTTAGAATTAAAATTAAAATATATCAACATAGGCATGCGCAGACTCCGGTTTCAGGGGCAGCAAGAGATTAATTCTGCCCATTCTTCAAATTCACCATTAAACCCAGCCCATAATTTTACTATTTTTGCTATTGGGTATCAAAATTAAAGTTGTATTGATTATTTGTTTATTTGGATAAACAGTTGTACAGTTTTTATAGTAGACAGGTTTACTAGTTTTATACTGATAAATTCTATAATCATAAAATATTCATATCTATACTTGACCAAAAAAAAAAAATCATTTGTGGAAATATAATTTTACCAAGGCTCATTATTTAATATTTGCCGGCCCCGGTAGCCCCAAATAAAGCATATGCTGCCTCTGCTGCCCCCGTGCGCACGCCTATGTATATCAATATTTCCAAAAAAATCAGATAATAATCAATTTACTGGAAAAAAGAAATTAATATATAGAACAACACTCCTTCTATGATATTTTATAGATGTTATAGAATATATTAGAAAATATGGTCTTTAGATATAGGTACTTAAAAATTCATAAAAATCAGGATATGTATAAATTCATTTTAAGAAAAATGGGAGTAGGCATGCTTGATAAATCTACCTTTAAATATTATTGATGTACTTACTTAATCTTAGTGGATAATGCTAATATTATTAAGAGTACACTTTTATTCGCTATTAGGTACCCACTTAGGTTTTTACTGTCTTTACACCATTGCTAACATAATAAATCATGTAACAAATAAGACGTTCAAAATAAAACTTAAAATATAGAAACTAGAAAGTCAATATTTTCGAAATATTTTCAAATAATTGCAATTTTCATTTTTCAGTGGTTCACTCACTAGTCACTACACCCACGATATTCTAATTAAGACCGTGGTTATATACATTCTGTAGAAAAAGCTTTGATAATATTTTTTTTTTATAACTGATAAGCTGATAACACTATATCTGATAATTATATTATAATGTTTACATCACAAATTCACAAACATGAATAAAAATATCTTAGTTCGTGGTTTACATGTTTAATCCTAAACGATTATAGATAGTCCATCTATAGTTGTGATCCTCCTATTAAAAATAATGTCCATCATTGGAGTAAAATAGTGAATAGAACCTAGAGTGTTGGCTTAAAAGGACCTGGTGTTCCCCAAATCTATCAAGTATCCCTAATTCAAAATGTAGTATGTACTAGAAGTAGTTGTATATTATACATTATTTTTAGAAAATATTATACTTAAGTATATATGCGCAACTAGAGTTAAATTTTAGAGGATGCTAAAATTGTGTATACTCATCTCACTAAGCAATTGAGGGTTTTGCCTCTCTTCGCGTCCCCAGACATAAATTTTAAAATCATTAGTACGCTACACCCGCATGTGTCTATCTCCGTCGTGTAGTACAACCACGATTTAAAATAGTACTGCCTTAAATAGTGAGTACAACCATAGCAAAAACTGTTTTAAGCGGGACAACTATACTCCCTGTGCATTTATAGTAGAATTACCAAAATTCCACAACGCATAGAGAAGAACTTCATCTGTGTGACTGTGCTGTGGTCTGCCCCCTCGGAATTCTGTTTAGCCCACTGTGTAAAAATGTACTATTTTATACGTTCATGTATGAGAACTGAAACATAATATTACTTTGATTTTTCATTCCTTTAGTTATATTTCCAGAATATATGTAGTGGTAAATGAAAAAATTAAATTACTGACATAGATAATTATTATTATATCTGTATTCCAGTCAAATTGTTACTTTTATTCTGTAATTCTATAATATTTAAAAATGTATTCCTATGATAAGCTTATATTCACTAAATCAACTACGATCTTATAATGTGTTAATTTAATTATTTAGTAAATGTACGGGATATTTTTAAGAACCTTGTCTCCAAAACAAAGGTTAGCTTACGGTCTACGGAGACAATCATTTCTGTATAATGTCATATTATAATGAGTATAAATATTTGTATATATTTACATGTATGTACACATTTCTATTTTTAAATGAAAATAATTAAATAATAATAATAATTAATTATATGCTGTGTACACGAATCATTATAGGCGCTATCTCTTTGACGAAGTAATTCACAAGAAATGTCGGTAGCATCGTCGATACCACAGGCGGAAAAAAAGGCTATAGCCCCCTCCCCCCATATAAATGCATCACGCGTATGCTTACAAGATACAACCAATACAACAAATACAAATAACATAGAAACATTTGATTCCTTTTAATATTTAAAATAGACAAATCAGTAAGTATTTACTATTCAGTGGTATCCATAGCAACTATACAATATTATATATAATACAAAATTCGATTTAACAAAGGCACTTTTATGGTATCTGCATTTAAATTTAATCGGTGTGTCGGGAGGTATCGAAAATATTTGAGTGCTAATTTAATTTCAAAGACAATAATTAATATATTACGTATTTTTAATTCTATATATATATATAAGTAATCATTTTTATTTCAATTAGTATAAACTTGTTTTGATTTACATGTTTTTTTTTTATAGCAAACCGTTATTTTTGCATAAATAGATATTTATAGTGTAAGAAAGAGAGATAGAGCCTTCTAATTATCGGTATAATGTCACGTCCTATGATGATACCGACTTTAAAACCAAAATTTTTTTTCGGTCTCACAACTCAAGTGAACGGTAACTGTTTGTTTCTGAATGAAAATGAAATCATCTATCCTGCGTCTGGTGTCCTCGTCATTTACAACATTGCACATCATAAACAAAAATATATACACCTGGCCGAACCACAGAAAGTCATCACTGCCATGGCCCTCTGCATTAACAAGTATGCACGTATATTATCTATATAATGTATTCGTGTGTCTTATATAAGCCACACACAATAAACTGAAAATTGATATTATGATAATTAAAATACTTGGCGTATTATAATTATGACGATTTTCAAAACAATCTATCTATTATTATTAGGTAATGGCCTAATAGGTGTGATATTTAGCAAAAAACCCGATGTATTGATAATGTTATATATATGTGTGTCGACAAATTACTGGTTCCACACAGAGTCTAGTTTTTGTTTCGCTTTCTTATCCTGTGTAGACCCGGCCGCGCCATTAGCCAATTTTCGAGTAATAAGGATTGCAGGTGAAAGTATACAAGAATGTGGTTGATAGTAGACAGTAGTTATTACGAGTTATAGAATTGAAGGGTCCGTGAGGGGACGGATCTCTTACACTATTTTTTTTTTACTTGGACGGGGTGATGGTACAAACGTATGCCCCAAATAATTTTTTGGAACTACTAATATGTAAATGATGTTACTAATATTTGAGCAGGTCTTCAGTACCCCCCCCCCCCATGTTACAATTCCTTATTCTATTAAAAATTAAGTATAATTGTAATGTGCATAATAGGTATTCTTTAGGCCAGTCGCCAGTGTACATAAAAATTGATTTGCCATAACGTACAAAGTATACACTTTAAGTAACTTGAAAACCAACTGGGGAATATGGAAATTCTAGCCTAAATTTATTTCAAATCATAAATATTACACATTTACACCCAACTATTTAGTTTGTGTTTCTGTTTTTATAAATGTACTTTTACATTGTGCTGTAAGCCAGTAAAAATTGGCAGTCGTACTTATGATGAGCTCTCAGATTGAAAATATCTGGAGTTGTACGGATTGTATTTGAAATAGTTAAGAACTTAAGAAGACGATTTTATTTTTGTTTAATGTCAAGTTATTTTTAGAAAACTATTCAATATCTTTTTTAGGAAAAGCTCTATTTTTTATATAACTGAGTATCCGAGTCCCTTATGTAGTCCCTTGTCCAGTTACAACCAACGCTATATATCATCTGCGTATGCATATTAATTACCAACTACCTATGTTTAATATACTTAAATCAAAAACATATATTATAATCTATACATATAAAATCCAAATACCACTTAGCCACTGATCGCTGTAACTCAATAACTATGCAACGTGCGAATTTGAAATTTGGAATAGAAGTTCTTCTCATATTTTCACTGTGCCATAAGAAAGGATTTTAAAAAATATTGCGTTTTAGTGGAGTAATTAACAATTATAATTATTCATCGCCAATACGGCAATACGTATTGTGCTGCTGCACGACACGGGCTTATGGCGGCCAGCGGGTTTCCAGCTACCTGCATCTTATCCTTTTTGTCCGTCTTGTAGATAAGAATTGTTCCGAAAAGTTATTGGGATCTGGGATATATTGTAAATATGAAAAAAAAAACAAAACTACACAGGCGAATTTTATTCAGCTGCTAGTGTGTAATAAAATGTGAACGAGTACGTATGTTCCTCGAGGAACACCCATCGTCAATAATCTACGTTTTTACTATAACCATTAACCGTGTCATTAATTTCTACTTTATGAATTCTATTTTCTAGATAGATAATAATAATGGTTCACCACCAATTTCAATTTCGTAAAGGTGTCTTATTGATTTAGGATGCGATACCGTCATACCGAATCAAATGTTTTACTTATATCTAGGGATTTTTAATAAATGACCATTATAATGAAAATTCCGTTGTAACATTTTCTGTTAGCAATTTTTTTTGGGAACTATAACCAAAAAAAACCAATTTCATTTAAACAAATTTTTCTTTAATAAGAATTTTGTTGGTTGTCCATGTTTCATGTCTCCGTAATATAAAAGTTTCACTGAATAAAATTACTAATATCTATTACAGCACCTATGTAATCTATATATAAATAGTAAATACTAAATATACCTATAAAATATTTAAATATATACCTAAGCTTTCCTATATCTACCAACCTATAGTACCTGCAAATTACTATTTAATGTCCTTATTATAACATTGACTATACCTATCCCAAACAATAACATCTTTGTACTTAATTTTTTTATAATTTATTATAAATTATACACATAATAATTAGTATAGTTATTATAATATTATAATATAATTTTAATACATTCTGATTTCTGACTTTTTATTGTAATTTAGAAACGTTATAGCTGTGGCAGAGAAAGGTGACAAAAAAAAACCTACCATCAGTATTTATGATCTGGATTCAATGAAACGAAAAAAACTGTTAACCGTATTAACGGATTTGAAAACCGATAATTTCATTAATATAAAATTCTCATTTGATGATACATATTTGGCAGCCCTCACTAATGGACCGGACTTTATGATGTATTACTACAATTGGGAAAATTCAAAAATCGAGAGCTACGTGAAAGCTAGTAGCCCTCCAAATGCCGAAGGACCCGTGTTAGACGTAAGAATCCATACTATTTATGTACCGTTTATTGTATATAATATAATAAATTGACAATTTTAAATATTGTGCACACAATACATAAACATAATACATATAATTGCGAGTTAAACTCTTGTGTTTGTTGTAAATGTCATTAACGTTGTATAAATTATCCATAGATGGCCTTAAATCCATCCGACAATACTATATGCTGTTTTGTTGGTAAAGGGCTATTCCGACTAGTGACTATCAGTGATTCTATTTGGCGACAGTATGGTTTTCAAAAAGCCGACAACTTGGATTTTTCATCTGTATGTTGGTTAAACGGTGATAGGTAATGTATCGTTGAAAATTTGAAATCAAATTGTCTTATCACTTGTAAAAACCAAAAATATTAGTCCCCATATGCTGTCTTATCACTGATTTTTGACTTTGCCCCTTTGGTTTATATTTCTACGAGGTCCTCATTGACTATTATTATATATTTATTATACATTTATTATTGACGCTCATATTCATTGTATTCCAATAAAAATAATGTTATATTCTATTGAATAAAATTAATATTATTAGGCTGTTATTGGTTATATATATTGTTAACCCGAAAAATTAC